TGAAATTCTTAGGTATCACGACACATCCAAAAAAGAAGAGCAGAAAATGTCCACTGAGTTTATATATTAACTTTTAATACTTTGAAAGTAACACCCTATTTAGCATTTATAAGCAGTATACAGGCATTTAATGAATGTTTTTTTAACACACTTTAACCTAGTTGTACACAGCTATAAGGACATTTATTTATAGTGCGTATTAATGTGCAGTATTTGCCAGTAATTATAATGTTTCCTATGATGACCATTTGAAGACAGCTCAGCCTTCCTAGTGGGTAGGAGAAACTACAGTGGCCACAAAACCCGCAATAAACATGAAAGTCTCTATCTAGAGCCAGTGTTTGGTTTGTCCATTCCGGGCTACTGTAGAAATATGCAACTTTGCGGCCTCCATGGAAGAGGACCCGCTCCCTCTGTAGATAAAAATAAGTCATTCTAAGACAACGAAAACACAACAATTCTTATTTTTAGGTGATTATGTACAAATTAAAACATACCTGTGAGTCATCCTTCTAAATGTTACACACTGGTGTAATTATGTTGCCACACATTTTTTACTATTTTTTAGCACTAAATAACTATAATCTGTATTGGAAGTTTTGGGTTGTTGTTGAAGAGTCAGGGTTGAAATATATCAAGGCTGATAATCTAGGGTATTAAAATTAAGCATTTAAATATTTCTGAGGCAGCTGAAATATGATCACAGCAGCTTTTTGCTCTTCAGATCAGGACTTACTTATTATATTGACGGCTAAAAGACAGACGAAGGGAGCATTTCTCTTTCTCTTTTCTCTCTAAAGGTGTAAAGCCGCTGCAGACTGACTGCAGGGAAATGGCAGATTGAAAGCAAGATCTGAGGACCCTGAACGAGTCTCTGTTGCATTAGTCTAGAGGCCAGTGTCAAATGGACGGAAATGGCAGTGAAACAGCAGCATTGATCACTGTGGCGCCTCACCATGTGATACTGTCAAATTTCACTGGGATAAATGACATCCTGCTCCATCTACTGATGATTTATTTCTCCTGGGCCAAGCTCTTTTCATTCATTTCTCATTTGACACTGTATTTCTCAAGATACAGAACAAAATTAGGAGAGATATTTGTAAAACTGTTGCATTTTCCCCAGTCAGAATAAGTCTCTCTCTTTCTTTGGAAAATGAAGCTCTCCAATTTCCAGAGAATACAACAACAGGTGTTCTTTCAAAGAGATGCAGTGAAAAGAATAAAAAAAAAAACGGACTAGCTCGGATAATATTCTCAATGCAAATCCACTTAAACAGATTCAGACTCTGAAAGAGATTTACAGTACAGCACAATTTGAGAATGAGCAGGAAAGCACTTTAAAGGGTCGCTTGGAAAAGTGGCAGTCGTCCAGTTTTCAGAGTGCTCATAAGCTGCAGGTTGAGTGCATGAAATGAATGAATGAATATATGCATGTGACAGGGACCCTACACTGTATAACGTACTGTAAGTGCTGCTGTGACTATTCTAATCAATCTGTACTATACCACTTACCTTGAAGTGATCCCAAATATTATAACAGTAACATTTGCAATATCGCTTCATCATGCTGTGTATCCGCGATAGCCCAGTCACTATTTTTCATTTCCGCAGTGTACAAAATAATAAAACAGGATGATAACTGGTTCTGCTTGTTTAACAGATCACATCAGAAAACTTTAAAGTTAGCTTAACACCCACATATATTTACCAAAGGTAGAATTTGTACCTAGTGCTGTTTGTTTAGTTTGATGCTATATTTTATTGAACTGTAAATGTTCTGCAGAGTGTCTAGTAAATGTGCTGAATTGAATTGTTTGCTGAGATGATGATCGGAGAACTGCTGAAGTTTACCACAGTATGTGTTAATCACACCATTGGTCATCTGTCAGCTGAGTTAAATATTTGACCTGCCATAACTCTGCTTCGGGCATATCTGCCTGTTTTGACTGTATAAAATATCACTCTTTATGCTAACTATAACCTTATTTGAGTATCCAAATTATCTGAAATTATAATATAATTATAATGCTGGCCCAGCGAGTAGTAATGAGCAACTGATAAAAAAGATGGATGTTGCACTTACTTGAAAGGGGGGAAGGAAGCTGCCCATGCAAATACTAGGCCTGTGTTTAGGAATGACAAATGCAAATGAAGCACAATAGTTACGTTGTTTTATTTGTGCTGTTTTCCAAGTCCAGTCCACAAAACAGTGTCAGTATACTGTGTATATCAGCAATTTCTACGATTGGATGCATTTTAATTGTGTTGTGATAAGAATATATATAGACTGCATTAATTGCATTGCATATCATCATTTGACATCATAGATGAAAAAATACTTGAATTGTCATGTACCATTATACAATATAAATATGAAAACTCTAAACCCAATTACTTCTACACTTTAAGCAATTGATTAACTTTTTTGATATAGTTGAGGGATATGGTAATCATTAATCTGTTGTGTGAGTAACTCTTTTAGACATGCACAGCTGCCCAAGAAGAGGTTTCAGCCTGTTTTACATCCTGTTAAATGCTCACTTAAGCACCATCAAAGCAGAATTAACACCATGGAGGGATAGGTGATAAAATATTAGCCATCCTCATCAAGAACTAGTCTCACCGTTTTAGAAGGTTTTTCATCTGATGGCAGATTCAGGAGGTGATTCACGGACAACTCACTCCCCAGTCTGCTTAGAAGACTGCATAATATATATATATATATATATATATGTATACATGCTGCAGAATGTTTACCTGTTTCATTACAACATACTTATTTTGGGGGTTAGGGTAAGTTGGCTGTTGTTTTTTTTCTTTGGCATTAAGCTTTTCAGCCATCTCAAATTCTTCCATTACATCCCACAGAACTGAAATTCAAAAAACTTTTTGAATTCCTTCCACTTAAATATTCAGAAATATAATTTAAAACACAAAGCTCTCTGAAAATTGTAAACTAGCACAGATGACTGATAACTCCTCTGTGTGTTTTCTCTCAGAAGGAATCCCTTCTTAATGCCATACATTGTTGAGTATGACGACTTGATGAGGTTGCTTTATAAATAATCCAGTGACAGTGTTTAATGCATTACACTACCACCTGCAACATCCAACTGGCAAATCTCTTTCCTTGGTATTTGGACATACCTTGGTAAGACTCATCCATCATGTTGGAAAAATAAACCTCAAAACATGAATATGCAAATCATTTTTGATAACGTGTGAGCACATGATCACAAACTCAATGTTGAGGTTCTATAACAGAAGGTCTGTCAGTGCAAGATGTGGTAAATAGGGAAAAAAAAGGGTTAGGGGGAGGGTGTATTGTTAGACATTGTCCTGCATGTAGGAAAAAAGTCTTAACACAGCAGAAGCCCAAAGCCCACTAGAACTGAATTATCTTTACAAAGACGTGATTCAGCCTCTTGCAACCAACAGCTCCTTTACTACCCAGTCTTACACACATTCATGTGTAGTGTTATGCTCTGGATTTAACCCTAATTCACACAAATATTATATTTATGTAGAGAGGCTGGAGCAATGAACTGTGATAATATAGAGGCCAGTGATGAATGAAAAGCTGTAATCGCTTTGATGACTGTTTACACATACGTACACAAACCATTTTCAAAATTATTAGTTGTACGTAATGCACACATTCTCATATGTGGCAATTTATGAAACTTGTTATGGAATAATGAAAAATCAAGATGCAGTGTCTTTTTTAGTGTATATGGTTTTAACAGAATTTTTGTGTGCTTTTCTCTTTTTTACGTCTTTAAGTGTGCAATAATTCTTAGTTGTATGTGTTCTTACATCAGTTTGGCTTTTTAAAATGAATCATAATTGCAATAGTAAACTGAACTGCAACTTGCTTTGGTGCTCTTGAATTTAATGTTAAGCCCAAAAACGAAACAAAAAGTTTTCAGTTACTGATGCGGTTGAAGAAAATGGAAAGACTATCCAAAAATGATTGGCTACCACTTGGAGTTGTATAAGAAAATAAGTGGTGATTGAAGTCAGGTTGGCAATCAGCAACAAATTGTTTCCTGAGTGATTTTAATTTTCACACAGTGTTGTCCTGTGATGCAGTAGGTTGATTTCAACTTACATTTTTCCTTCAATAATGTCTCAGTATCAAAGGATAAAGGATGCAGCTGTACTTAGCTTAGCTATATTTTATTTCCAACCTGTACTACAGAATATTGTGTGTCCAAGTTGTTGTTGTCCCCAGTTTAATCTGATTGATATGTAAGATCTCAGTAAACAAAAACACATGTATTATGCAAAAGATAAAAAAAATTACATTTACTTTACTATCTTTATATATTTTACCCAAATATCTGTACTTTCTACTCCTTACAATTTCAAAACAGGCTCGTTATTTTAGATTGAATGCATTTGAATGGGAACTGTCGATTGTTATTATTAGTATTTTTTGCATTATTGCACTCCTTCCCAACATCAAGACCGGTGCATATCACGTTTAAAGTTTTAGCTTTATTCAGAAACAGTCGTTAGAAAACGTCCTTCTGAGAAACCATGACAGTACTTTTTACTTTTAAACTTGGAGTGCATTTTAGAGCCTTTACCTTTTCACTTTTACTTAAGTAAAGCTGTTGAATCAGTACTTCTATTTTTTTTCACACAAATATCTGTACTTCTACTTGAGTAAAGAATGTTTGTACATTTGCCACTTCTGCATAAAGCGCATGTGTTCATGAAGCTTTAACTAACTGACTACTTTTCCTTTTTAATCATGTCATCAATTCAAGCTTTTTTATGGCTTTTTCTCTTTTGTTTTCTCCAGGATCCCAGAACGAAGCATAAGTTTAAGATCCACACCTATGGGAGCCCCACCTTCTGTGACCACTGTGGCTCTCTGCTGTATGGCCTCATCCACCAGGGCATGAAATGCGACTGTGAGTATGCTTACAACATCTCACTCAGTGTTGAAATGTTGCTCATGTTTTTTTTTAAACTGTTGAATTATGTCAAAAAATATGTACAGTGATATTTCACAATGAGCCTACGCTTCATGAGTGGTGTAAGCAGCTGTTAATAAATTAAATTAATAAATTCTGTGTATCAAATGGTGTCGTGCCTAAAGTTGATGCTCATACAGTAATGGAGAAAAAATGATCCTGCACTGTTCTGTTATATAGGTCAATGATGCACAAGCATAGCAAAATAATGGTTTGCTGTAAGTGGCTCTACACACATTATGATATGTTTTAGAGCCACTTTATCCGCATTAGTCTCCTGAAAAAAGCCTATTGTTCCTCTTATCTGAATATCATAGGCATATGAATTTCTCCTCCTTCTTGACTTTTCTCACTCACTCATTAAAATCACACATCGTCTATTTTCAGTCTTCAGCTATGTTCGTCGCACCCTGAATAGGCCTGGTATGAAAGCTTTACAGAGTCTTTATTAATATCCCTCCCTCACTCTTCTTCCCTTTAATCTTGTGTTAGTGGATTAGTCTGAACGCCTTAATGAGCTCCTAAATACATTTATCCTCCACCTGCTACAGACCACCAGTTATGCCTAATGATTGCTCCAGGGTTTACATAAATAGAGATGTGGAGCGGCAAATAATTTTGGCAGATCAATTGCACCTCTAATCACACCACAATGAGCTGGCACTGTAGTATTTTGAAGCACTGGTGAGCCACACAACAGTTACAGTGATGCACAGAAAATAAATTAAAGTAGCGACATCACCATTTTCAAAATTATTTCTCACCTACTGACCTGGTGGCATGATGATGTAACGGTTAGTAACTGTTTCCAATCCGTAGATTTTTGGTTCAGCATGGGGGCTGAATCTGGGTCATAACCTTGTTATCTCCTCTTTCACGCAGCTTACGGAAAAAAACAATCCTTTAATATTGTGCCAAACATGTAGGATCCATGGGATGAAATTGAAATATGTCCTTATATAGGTACAGCAAATCTGTCAGCTTACTGTATTTGAACATTAAGCCATAAGAGGCTGCATACATTGCTTTTATAATATGATGTTATATTGAATGCAATTAATATGCGATCATAACTATAGAACTATAGTCACTGGTATGTAAGAAAGTCCTGATACATTCAGTTGGGCTTGATTTCAGAATCAGAATCAGAAATACTTTAATAATCCCAGGGGGAAATTATTTAAACCAAATGCACAAAGCTCATCTTTATCTATCATATATATCTTTATTTATATATTCCTTATGTCTTTGATCTGCTTTCTCTCTCTGTCCCTGCAGCCTGTGATATGAACGTCCATAAGCAGTGTGTTATGAACGTGCCCAGCATGTGTGGAACTGATCACACCGAAAGGAGGGGGCGTGTTTACCTCAAGTGTGAGGTCAGCGGAGAGAAGCTGCATGTCACAGGTAGGCCTGGTAACTGCTGCTCTGTGTTATGCCACGCTGGATTGAATGGACTAAAAATGCAAGGTGTGATGTGTGTCAGATGCTCGATGAAGACTTGTGTTTGTATGTACAGTGTGTGTGTGTGTGTGTGTGTGTGTGTCACCACAGGTGGGCTTGGATGAGGGTGTAGGTGGTAGCAGACGCTATTGTTCTGTTTTTGATTGTGAACCTGGATCACTTGTGACGTTTTGCCCTTTTTGTCGATAAACCTTGACTGTCTAATTTTACACACCACACATTCATTCTCTATCCCCTGCTGCCATTAACCTGAATTGAACCTTGCTCGCCATTAACTCTGTCGTAACTCTGCCTGATGCAGTGAATCCAGCTGCTAACTGCATGGCTGGCCTTGTGACTATCAGCTATCAGTATGCTGCAAAGGCTATTCCCTTATGGTGCACAGATCGATAGAGCATCTCCTGCTAAACATTCTCCTGTAAGAAACAATTCACAGTTACGACACACTTGGAAGGCAATCCCAATCCAAATATATAGTCCTGCAGTGGTGTGTGGTCTGCTGCGTGGGCCTCGTGTTGTTACTCTTTTTAAACAGTCACGACTTGCTCTGTGCTGGCTGGAGTTTCTGATATAACTGAATTGTCTCTGCAAAGCAAATTGATCGCTTGATATATTAATTTATGTCTCATCAGAATTACACAAACGCAGGATCTGAGTGCTCTGCTGTGAGCAGGTTCGTGGCTTTACAACCATCCATCTTACCATTATTCATTAGGAGGCTGTTCTACATGATCATATCACTGGCTATTCCAGCCTTTTTAATTACTGATGCCTCCGGTTTCAAAGGAACACCTGGTCTTTGCCTACCAAGCACCGAAAAGGACATAATGAGATACTATTAATAGCATTTGCTTAATGGAATGTAATGAATGGTGATGTCCAGAGACTTTTCACATCCTTTAGAAATCTTCTTGCAGCCGTTTGTTAATATTGTCTGAAGAGCCCAAAAAAAGAGTAGGCTGTGTGAAAAAGATGCATGTCATATCATGTCTGATGATCTATACATTAATATTATGGGTAAAGGTTGTCTCTGTGACAACAAAATGTTTGAGCATGAGAAATGTCAGCTCAATTAATCATAACTAGAGCCAAAAGCTTTTTGGCCTAATAAGATATCCATAAAATGTATTTTTACCATTATCTGTATCCATTATCCAAACTTTGCTATTGATTGATGTTTTTATTTATTTATTTTCTATGCTTATTCATTCTTTTGCATGTATTGGGAACACTTTCCATATGAAAACAATGCATACAGCAAGATACTGGCTTAAGTATTTTAGTTTATAAATCTGAAATTATTTGACAGTTCTTAATTGTTGACTTAACAGACAGTGTTGAATAATCCTCCCAGGGCAAATAATGTCCAACCAGCTGCTGTGGTTAAGCCGAGATAATTTCATGCATAATCTGTCAAATGTATCTGTATGTAGTGAATTGCAGTAAACAGTTTATACAGCTCTATTATACGGGTATAAGAAAATAAGAAAATATCAATACACCAGTATATTATGTTTTGTGATATTGTATTTATTCTCAATAACGCTGTATCAATTTTTGTGTTTAAACCACCAACAGCTAGATAGCAGTGTTGTAAACGTAAACTGATGTTGGATGTTAAAGGGACAAAAATAAACTAAATTTTAGTTTATTTAGTTTTAACTAAATACAAATGCATTTTTTAACTCAGATTTTATGTAAATGGTGGTGTGTTCTTTATACTATGACAATTTTCCTAAAATCAGATTAAAAAAAATCTCAATATACTATCGCCTTGCTTATAGTATTGCAGTATATGGCAAATTATTGAATCGTAACCTCTGTATCGTGATACATATTGTATCGCCAGATTCCTGCCAATACACAACCCTACTCTCTGTGCAGAAACACAGATAGATTGAACTTCAGTAAAACGGCATAGCAATTTATAATGCTGATAAAAAAAATAATTAATAAAAAGTAATAAATAAATTAATAAAAAATAGTGGAATATGGACACTACACACTCGCAAAACTATCTGTATTGTTGCATTACTAGGAAAACAGTGTACTACAACAGTGTGCTTTTGCCTTGTATTTCGAGGCATGCTGTAAATCCCCTGGCTATAATGTGCATTAGCACATCTGCTAGAACAATAGTGACGGCAAGGAGCTGGCTGCAGGCACACATAATCATTCAATTAGCTGGCAAACGGGGGTCAGTGCATCCTGAAACCCTGGCACTAAACTTCACTGACTTATCCACTTATCAAATTATCACTAGATTGAAGGGGTGAATGTAGGCAGGGAAGTGCAACACCTACACGCATGCCTTTCTCAAGACAAGCATTAAAAAACATAGTAATGAACAAAATTATGATCTTGACAAATGTCTGGCTCTCACCTTTAGAAAGTTTGCTTTTCTCAGCTAGTTCATTAACTGCCTGTATCACACAAACACACTTGTGTTTGATTTTACAGAGAATTTTCATTCTTTTAGTTGCTGTAAATACTGTATCTTATATCTAGGTTTTCAAATAGTTAATAAAAATGTAGCCTTTAAAAATGCCTTTTATGGTCAAGTGTTGAAATACTTAAACTTAAACTCAGTGGAGCTCACTTCAGAACATATTGAGTTGGTCAAATAATGCACAAATATTTATTCGAGATTTTGGGCTGAGACCTTGCATTTTCCTCTCTCCATCTGGTGTCTCCTCATAACATACATTCTTCTCTCACAATCTCTCCTCCAGTTTCCAGTTGAACTGATTTTAAATTAACAAGAATAGCTGATTTTCAAGGTGGAATCTGTGTTGGATGAAAAACAAAACACTTGAATGAACAGGATTAGGTTGCTGCTGGATAAGATGGCTATATTAACACTGACCCTCTTCACCCAGTCTTTGACTATATCTTTAGAAACATTACAGTAATATAACTTTCATTTGTGCTGAACCCTGCACTGCCACAGACTGCTGTCAACTCATGATAATGATGTGTATGTATAGTATGTGTGGACATGTATGCATACACATTCATGTGTACTTGGGCACTTCCTGATGTGAACAAAACATGCATGTTATCATTTGCATGTGTTCTCTTGCTTGTGTGTGTGTAGGTGTGTGTATAGAACTGCTGCACCAGCCTGCAGCCCACGCAGTCCAGATTGTATCATAGATTACATTAGCTGCTGTAGATGGCTTGCAGACAACCTGCCGGACAGAACTGTATTACATACATTGTGTACATACAGTACATTGTGAAGAACGGGGAGAAGAAAACTTTGCATAATTTTTGTGATGTGATCCCATTTGTGGGATATTTATGTGCTGACTGTGTATGTTTGCTTGAATTTGTCCACAAATAATGCGTAGACACTGGGGCTAAGATAGCAGTTGATGGTAACTGAATATTTCCAAATGGTAGGCTGGCTGCTATAAAACACAATATCTCGTTATCTGTGTATACATGTGTTGAATGCAGAAGAGCGTTAGAAGTTGTTCGAAAGCACCTCTGTTTCTGAGAAACAAAGTGTAATTAATAATGTACCTAATTACTTCTGAAAATCAGTAAGTGGTAAGTAATAAAGAGTTTTAATGTTAAGTTCAAGTTTCAACTTGACCAGCATTGATTATGATACTCTGCTGTGAAACAAAATTAAAGCTGTTATTAGAAACACAAATCCCTAGTTCCCACTCCTCTGTCTCAGATTTAAAAGGTTTATTAGAGCCAAATCAAAGTCAAGTAGAGTTTTTTTCTGTTCCCCAATTTAAATGAAGTAGGTTCAAATTAGGTTTTAGACCAAAGTGTCACACTGACATCTGGTGTGGTCTCTGGAAAGTGGTCAGCTTCTTTTTATTCTTGTTGATGGCTTATGTGGTTATTGGCTAATGCTCCTTTATGAACGCACACACACACACAAACACACACCGTCCCAAAAATTCCTTGACTCAAATGAAATGTCACTGAAACACATTTGGTCAAAAGCCTTTATCTGATCTTTTTCCAAAAAAACCCTATCCCCTTTGTTCTTACCAAATCTGCGTCCATCAACATTTGCCGTCCAAATCAATAGCTCAGTTAGGAATTATCTCACCGTGTTTTCCATGAAACAATGTTTCTCTTCACTCTCTGTCAAACCATGTGCAACCCTGCTATCCACAGAAGCCAGAGAAGTCTTAAATTCAAGCAAAACTATTACAAATTTACCAAAACATATGGATAGACTTTAAATGTCCAGAACAGGACATGTAACATGATGTCTTTAACTCATGAAGGAAAGCTTGACTGAGTGCAAAATATTGAGTGCAAGAATCCCACAACCAACCCACAAAGCACGCATACACGCACACTCAGGTTTGAGTGACTCCAATTTCTTTCGGGATTCACCAATGGCCAGAGCCAAAATGTTCAGCAGGAAGTGACATGGATGGCAGAGGAAGCAGCTGTCCTTTAAACCCATACATGGGCACACACATGAATTCCAATCGGACCTACAGAGACAGAGAAACATACTTTCTGGCAAAAACACCGGGATTGCAAAATTAAATAATGAGTAATCAGAAACACAAGAGACATTTGTGCAGTTTCCAGAAACATGTGAGAATGTGTGTTTTTGTCAGTTGAATGGAGATGGGAGGGGAGGTGCTAAAGGAAACAAAACAAGTTCTGTTTCTGTGCTGAAGGATGGATGTAGCCCACTAACCTTGTCCCCCGCCTCTCATTCCTGCTAACACACAGCTCCTTTCTGTCCGTTGGTGCTGAGGACACCACCCTCCTGTTTGTTTTAACAACACTATTGTTCATTGACTCTGCGCTTGTCGGGTAAACTTGAAAGGGTATTCCTGTAATTTCTGTCCATATTCTTTTATTTATCCACATCACTGTCTGTGAATGTGTGTGCAGGCATGTGCACGCAACCTTGCTGCCTCAAGGTCCTTTGGGAGTGTGTGAGAGACAGTGGT